TAAAACATTCTATTTAATACAGTTAAAGACTTTCCTATGAAAACAACTTATCTCCGTTTTCCCATTAAAAACTTATTAATTAAAATAAAAACGAGTAAATAATTAATTCTTTACGTTTGTATATATATATTATTGATATGCCAAAACAATTGTAGAGTCTCTATTACACTTTCTCAACCATAAAAAGATAATTTCTTTTATTTCATTAATTATCAAATACGTTTTATATCTATCCAACCGTGAAAGTGGCTTTTATTTATTACTTTACATAAGTATTTTGAAGTTATTCGTGTAAGTATAAGAACTTCCTATTACAAAGAGAAAATGATCGAAAAATGAGCATATATTATCTGCACAATTTATTTTTGAAGCTGATAATTCACGTTTTTCATTAAATACCCAATTATGTTTACATGTAGATAATATTTTGCAATTTTATGTTACCTGATAAAAAAATATTATATACAATTTAACACATCAAATCATATATTAATAAAATGCCACGTGTTCGATTATTAAACAAAAACAAAAATTATCTACATAAGATATATGTAATCCAGCTGTATCTTTTACAGCTTTTTTTTATCAAAACTTTATAAATGGTTACTGTAATAAGTGAAGAGGCTTTATTGTTCCAAAAAATTTAATGTTTCTTTAACTTATTGTTAAATAACTCCAAAATACGCCAATACTATCACATAGACCAAATAAAATTATAGGGAATTATTTGGCGAATATGTATACCCAGTTATTACTCTGTATGATAAGTTGCCTATAATGAAATTTCCCGGATAAATTTACCACAAATTTTTCATTTTTCCTTGGTTACAGTATGCAACCCATTTCACTTAATATCCAGCTATGACAGTAATACGAATTCAGCAGCTCATTAGCAACATTAAAATTCTTTATTTAAAAGTTACTTCAAATAAACTGCAATATATTATGTGTTTTACAACTTATTTAATTAATAATTCTCATTTTCGTAACTTTCAGCTGTCAAAAATATAGGTGGATTTTATTTATGTATATCAAAATTCAAAGAAAGCAATATTTATACTGAATATAACGCAACTAATTATTGTGTTTTAGTTATAATTACTATTAAAATACAAATTAAACCCATACATTTTAAAAACAATACAGTTTCTTTAATTATAAGAGAAATACATAATTAATTGTACAAGTTCATTTATACAAATAGCGATTTCTTGTAAACCAGGATTAAATCTGGTTATTTCGAATAATTGGCGTTGATATAATGGTACAAAAGAACCAGTAAGAACAGGGATAATCCAAGGGTATTAGCTAAAATAGCCAAATGTACGTCGGTAATCATTCTGAAAGAGAAAATGTAACCATCTTATAGTAAGTAATAAAAAGTATTAACATGATGACAATATAACGAAAACAAGCACTTTAAAGTATACTTACGTTATTTCTATTTTATTTTTATATTATTTATAACTATGTTGTTATGTACGTGGAAATTTTAACCTAATAACTTCACACCTGATGTTGAGTTGGCAGAGTTGGTTTGTAGAAAACTTTAACACATCAAATCCCATATCCCAGTATCGTTTTGATTCACTTATTTGCCGATAGGTGGTGCATAACACATTTGCTAGATCGCCAGCAGATGTCTCAGCTAATACCATTTGAAGTCATTTGAATACAGGATGTTCAAATATAATGCACTTAATAATTAATAACATTGGCGATAGTATTTCTTCTACAAGTGTGTATTTTGTTTCTTTCGTCTAGTTCTGATTACTAACCCAATTCCGCAAAATTTACTAACCCACCCTAATCCAAACTATTTAAATCCGGTAATCCTAAAATCTTAATATTTTAAACTAATACTTAAAATTAAATTAAAGAAGTACTTATATTATATTTATAACGTCTCCAATAATAAATTTAAAACATGATTAGCGGATATTGATTAACGATTTTATTAATAATTTGAATAAAACAGTTTGCAAATTAGGGAAACATCCTTGAAAAGTTTAACGAAGAATAAAAGCTAAAAGAAAAGTAATACTGTTTAAAATCAACTGTTAAAGATGAAATGATGACAAAATTAAAAAATAATTGCAACTTATAAT